AGGACATCTCTGTCTCTTTGCCAGGTTTCACCTCCTGTTGCATGTTCTTGGCCACTCCCAGCACTTCCCTCGTTTTCCTGATAAGGGGACAAACCTTTCAGGCAGGTTTCTTACCCCCTTCCATCCTCAGGTGTGTCTGGGCTTTGCTTGCTCTACCACACTGCAAGCGCTTGAAGTCATTTGTGTCTTTGGAACTGAGAAGCAAATAAAACCCCTCTGGGTCAATTAAGGTGCAGGACAGTCACTGGGGAACGTGTCTGCAAGGTACCTCAGGTTATCTGGGCTTTGCCACAGCGTCAGTCTGTGTTTGTGTATGACTTGCAGAGCAAGGAGATAGTTTCAGGGACTTTTTCCTCAAAGCATAGCTGGAGCTGGGAGAGCTTAGCTTTCCTTTATTTTATGAGGACATAAACAGCCTACCTCATTTTCCAGAAACTCTTTGGAAACTTTGGAATTTGGCTGGGACTTCTCACAAGATTTCTGCACCAAGGGGTTGCATAATAGCACTGAGGGAAAGTACACCCTGGTGGTGATGTTGTGGGACTGTGGGGTTGCTTTTGTGTTAAGACTCCTTGCTAGAGACTTCCATTGCATCTCAGGAGAGTTCTGGCCCCAGTCTTGAGCATCTCTGCCCTTGGAGAGGCAGTGAGGCATCTGCCCTGGGACCTGGGCAGTCCAACCTGCTTGCACTGTGAGGACTCAATGGGGGCTGGTTGCTGCCTGGCTTGTGCAGCTCCTGAGGTCACAAGGAGCCACGAGGGCTTAATCTTGCAGTGGATGCTCCCAAGCAGAATGAGGTCCTTGGGACAGGCAAAGACACAGCACCTGCAAAAGGCAGTGCTCTCTAGCTCAGTGCAAGTCTTGCTTGAAGCCCTGGCTGCTCTCAGCTGGCTTCACTGCCTGCTGACCCAGCTCTTTCTGGCTGAACAGGATGTTTATCTTCTGAGCTCCAGCCTCTGCCTCCTTTGCCTGTTGCAGGCTGAGGGCCACAACTGCTCATGGTACAAGTGGGACCTCATGGAAGTCCGTGTGGGCCGATCGGGGTGCTCAGGTCCCAGCACAGCACTGTCAAAGCCTGCAAAACACTCCTTTGGTCCTGAGGTGGAAAATTACACAAATTTTTCTTTTATAGCATCCAGGAGCCTGGTCTTGAAGCAGGACGTGCCTGGTTTGTACAACTCCAAATGCGAGAAGGGCAGGCTCAGCCCAGAAGAGGTTATAGTCAATGACTCTGGCTCTGACACAGCAGCTCAACAGTGCTTCCTAAATGGCCTGTAAGTATCTCTGTGCAATTCAGTGCGAAGGTTGTGTGGCAGCAGGGAGCATCATACCTTTGAAGGACAGCAGGACCCAGTGGTGCTGCAGGACTGTCTCTGTGTAGGACATGTCAGTCGCATTGTCTTCTTACCAAGGCACTTGGGAAAGGCTGAACATATCTACAGATATTGACAGAATTCCTAGCAAACTAATTTTACACAACTCCAGGACACAGATTCCTGAAAAAAGTTGGAAGGACGATGTGGGCAAGTGGGCAAGCCTCTTCTGCCCCCATTTTTTGGTGGTGGGTTTTGGAGGAATGAAGGTTTCAATCCTTTGGCGCATGTTGCCCGTCTCCGTTAGGTTTGTGTTGGCAAGAATATTTAATTATAATTAGTAATAGCTGAATGCATTTACAGTGTGTGAAATGAGACAAGAAATAGGTACCAAAGCATTGCCTCACAACACTGATGCAGGATTGCTGAGGCATCTCCTCCTTCCCTCATATGCAATCCAGAGATGTCTACCTTTTCTCATTCCTCTCTTGCATAAATGAATGAAAATGGCATTTCTGCACACCCTTGAGATGGTAGCTGGGTACCTGCAGCAAGGAGAGCATCATATCCTGCTAATGGAGGGGATCACTTCTTTCCCTGTTACCCCACTATTTTATTAAGTGTTTACAAGTCTCTGGCATGCCTTATCTCTTGTTGGGCTCTCAGGCTGGGAGCCTTGAGATAAACATGAAAACACTCTGCTCTGGTATATGTTGACCTTTGTGGCTTGTGTGTGGCTGGTTATGAAAGGTGCTGTTTTGCATCCACCCACTTACAGGAATGAGATATCAAGTGACCATGGTTATTTTTCATTTTAAAAGCAACAGAGGGCTATCATGGGCTGCCCCAAAAGAGAGATTGTGTTTGTTCCCCTTTGATTTTGGTGACTGGCAGCAATTCTTTAGGACTTGTTTTGAAGTGTCCTCCTCCTCCTCCCAGGGCCTCTGTCTCTGTACCTGTTCTCTGAAATGACTCCATGGCCTAGTGCTGTGAAATGCAGAGTGTTGTAGTGAATTATTGTGCAGCCTGTGTATGGGCCCTGGAAATGCATCTGCATGGTCTAGCCTTAAAGAAGGCTAACATGGCCTTAAACAAGGCTAACTCTGCTAACATGGCCATTTTGTCCTTCCTTACATTCGTGTTCTCTGATGAAAGCAACTTCTGTAACTCTGCTTGGCAGATGAAATGAAGATGCCCACATTTAATAAACCTTGAGCAAGCAGCAGCGTGTGTTTGGTGAGCTGCCTGCTGTAATTAAGTGTGTACATTAGAGGAATGGGAGCTTAATTGGTTGAGGGGGTGTAGTGGGGCAATGCTAATAAAAGCAGACCAGACAGCTGACAGCCTGAACAGATTTAGACCTAAGAATGAGAATGGAGATAAGGGAACAAGCCTGCATTGAGGCAGTTTTTCAAGACACACCCTGTGGCAGTGCTAATGCTAAAACCCTTTGCAGTTCTGCGCCCTGCCCTGTGCTGCCTGGCAGCAGGAGTCTGCCTGGTCAGGGTTTTTGCAGTGCAGGTGTGAGACTGTGAGTCAAGAGGGACTGGAAACCCACAGCGTGTGCTTTGGGAAGGGTGGGCTGATCCATCTGGGGTCAGCTGCAAAGCTGAAAACACGTTATGATTAGACTTGTGAATCCTTTGCACCCTGAAGGCTTTCTATCACTGCAGGCCTTCCTGTACAAGCCTTAACAATGGAAGACAAATGGGTGTGAGTGCTTACCAGCTGCCTCCTGCATGCAGGGTGTTTATTTGGGAAAATGTGGGCCAGCTGAGATGGCTGTTGCTGCCAGCTGGAGCTGACTGCTCAGACTTGGCATCACTGGTCACAGCAGCAATGCTGAACAGAGCTGTGGAGAGGGAGGTTGGCTTTATGTCATCCTTGTGGGGCAATTAGCTGTCAAATAAATTGTTTCTATGTTTCCCATGGAGAATTTAGGTTATTTTTCCTAACGCTCCTGGCATTTTATTTTGTCTAAACTGCTGTGGTGCTGCAGGGGAGGCTGCCATTTGGGTTCCTCATTCTCTTATTCCTGGCTGCTGGTAGAGGTGCTGGTCTCAGCATGTGTGGAGGTCTCCCAGCTTGACCTTCACAGGTCTTTGTTTTCTCCCTGGGAGGGATGTCCTTCCTCCTTGATGTGAACCCAGCTGGCCACGACGAGCAGTGGGGAATGTTCTCTAGGAGTTTCCTTTTACCTGGCTGGGATCAATGTGTTTCTCTGAGCTGTAGATCTGGCTTCCCATGGGGACACTACACTCTGTGCTAGTCATTCATTTAATAAGCAATCATTTTGGTTGTCATATTCTGTTAGTGACTGACAGAAGGGGACTCTGCACAGTGAATGTTAAACATAGGGCTGTTTTCCAAGGGAGTGAATCTGTAGCCAAGTCACACTGACTTGGGTGAGGTTAAACACCAGGCCTGCCCCCACTCCATTGCAGAGCTCAGCACAAAGTAACAGGGGACAGTAGTGGCAGCATCTCTATGTGGATCAGCAGGTGACACACGGCTGTGCCAGTGTCTGGGTGGAGAGGTGCCCAAGTGGAGGGATGTCCTGATGGAGAGCTGGTGGTGGTGAGTTTTCCCTTCCTGCCCTAGGTTGCCTCTCTGTCCCCTGGAGACCTCAGTGACTCCAGGAAATGCCTGATCTGCAGCAGGCTATGGGAAGCAGAAGACAGAGTGCAGAGGTGCCAGTGCTGCAGCCCTGGTGAGAGTAAAGCAGACACTGGAGCCATGAGCCTTGCATTGTTCACTCTCTATTGGTGTCTGTTGGCTCTGTCAGTGCTTGGAGGAACATTTACAGAGGAGGATGGAGCATGAGGAAATATTTGATCCATTTTCCAAGTGCTTACAGGGAGACATAGGATTCTCTGTGGCTGCAGCACAGCAGCACAGCAACACAGCAGGGTTTCTCAGTTGCATGTTCCAGGTACAGCCCCACCATCTCAAATGCTCATCCAGGATGATCTTGCATGGAGGACAAATCCTTCCTCAGGAAGTGGTGCATTCATCAGCCTCATATCCTGTGCAGGATTTCACAGTGCCTACCTGTCAAGAACTGCTCCTGTTTGTAACACCTCATCCTGACAGTTCTCTGGGTGCTGACACTTGAGGTTGGCTCTGCTCTGGATGCAGATGAATGCTATTTTTAGCTGATGGCTGCAGCCAGATGGGAGCTGGTCGTGTGCTTTGTGGAGAGGAGGAAACAGCACATGCATCCTTCTCCCTCTGTGCTGCAGCCTTTGCTGAGGCACCCTGTGTGGAATTGGTGATGAGCCTGGGAAGGAGGCTGCCTTGTCTTATGCCTGTGGGAAGTAGCAGGGAATTAGGGCTGCGGGTCTCACAGTGTCACCTGGCACAAAATGCTCAAGAAAATGCTTTGAAAACCACTCAAATTCTGTATGCGTGTCTGAAAAATCTCCCTCCCCCTGCAACTCCAGGTTTTGTGCCTTGTTTTTTATGCAGAGTGCAGATGATGCTGCCTGTGTGCAGCTCCTTAACCCCTTATGTCAAGAATGACAGTATAAAAGGTTTGCAGCACCTGCTGCCTGGCTATGATCTTGGGATGCTTGGGCACCTGCTGTATGGATGCTCTTCATGCTTTCAAAAGAGGGAAGCCAAGACAGGTGGGGACCCCTGCCCTCTTTCTTTTTGTTTTTACTTTGTTCTTTGTTTCTAGCAGGTATGGATGGGAAGAAATGCAGCGTTTGGATGTTTTTACCTCTTGTGTTTACCCTGTTTACATCAGCTGGATTGTGGATAGTGTAAGTTACCTCCTGCTGGCTATTTGAAAGAGCAAGTTAGGTTGGGGCAGTCAGAAGAACTGCTGTGGTATGGACTGCATCTCCATACAGTACAGGGAGTGTTTTGGGAATGCTCTGTCCTTGAGTTACTGTGGGGATGGGAGGGCACATGATAAAGGCAGGGGCCAGTCCGTTACTTGGAGGACCAGATTTTTGTCCCTCTGTTTATGTGCTCCCCAGGCCAAGCTTCTGACCTTTTCTTTGTCCTGGCACATGTTACTGGGAGCTGCCTGAAAAGAGACAGGCAAAAAATGCAAAAATTCCTTTTCATCACTTTTTCTTTGAATGACTCAGCAGAGCTCTTGGAGAAGCTCTTAGACTCTGCTTCGGGGTGCAGTTTTGAAATAGGCAGCATCCAACATCACACTGACAACCTGCCAGAAGCTTAATGCTGACACTTTACTTTCCTACTAACACTTCTTAATAAAAATGCACATGAGGCCTGCAATTCCTCTCTCCAGGCATGCAGGCAGACAACTGCAGCATGAATCTAGGAGCAATAAAGGTGGGATCAGCAGCTATGCTCAGCCTGAGGAGCAGTTATAATGTAGGATATGGCACTGGCTGTGGTCTGTTGATGTTGTTTTTCAGGAGCAGGGGCAGCTTAAGCCATTTGTCTGAGCCTTATTGCTTGTTCTTCTTGTCCCATCCCCTCTGTTTATATTAAAACTGTGTTTATGGAGGGGGGCCATAGTAAAGCAGGCTCATCAAATAGCTCGGATTAAAAAAGAAAACATTCCTGTAGCTGGTTGTTTTTAAGGCCTGTGACCTGTTTGTCCACCTGACAGTGCAAACCAGATGCAGCTCAAAGGCACATAGTAAGGCTGGGAACTGAGCAAAATTGCCTGCTTAAGCAGAGGGAACACAGCTGCCTCCAGCAGATCTTGCCAGTGGACTTGGAGACACTTTGTGTGTTGTTTGAGTGATATGTGGAATTGAAGCCGGGATGAGGTTTTACATCATATACATTTTTTTCATCTTTCTCTTTTGCTTTTTCTTTTGACAGGTACTTTATAGCAGTGGAAGATAACAAAATTCTCCCATTAAATGAACCAGATAGGTAAGAGCTGGTTGTGGGCTTTGTGTTGGGTCACTTGTTTCTTTGAAATAGGAAAACAACGAAAGCTAAATGGGAAAGAATATCTTGACTCTTTGTTCTTATGCATTTGTGTCTCTTAGGAAACCTGGTTCCAAAAGACCACCTTATATAAGGTAAGCAAATTATTTTCTTCCAGTTACTGTTCTTATTAATCGTTGTTATTTATGTGTCTTTGCTATCCTAGAGTTACAATGATACACTTTGTTTTCCAAGTGTTGCAGGTGATGCACCTCCTGCAAGCTGTGTGTTTAGCCAAGTCATGAACATGGCAGCTTTTCTAGGTAGGAACCACAAGGGGAACATTTCTTTCTTTCTTTCTTTCATATTTGTTTAAGAAGACACTGAAACGTAAGTTATTTCCCATACATGTTGTTTTTAAATCTGGTTAAGGCTGTATTATATTGTCTTCATCTGTAGATAGATAGAATTAAGCTGGATACATTTGATCTTTATTGCTTTCTGAATTTAATTGTCTCATCTTAGCCTTGAATCTCTGTGACCTTTTTCCATTGTATGGTGGGGTTTTCTTATGTGCTGTGGATGAGAGAGATATGCATGGGAATATTGGCAAATGCAGCAACTGATGATGCAAAATATTTTCTGTGCTGAAGTCCTCCCCTTCCACCCCACCCTTTCCTAAATTCAATTGCTGTGGAAGTAAGAAGGCAACATGACCAAGAGAAGAAAGAGCTGGAAAGTACTAGAAAAATAGGTCTTAATTTGGTTCTTTAAACTGGTCTTTACCTTCACCTGTACATATTTTGAAAAAATGGATTCCAAACTTAAATGGCAAGTAATTAAGTATATTAACCTTGAATTGCTTTTCTTTAGTAGTATTTACGTTTATCTTTTTCTGTGTGGGTTGATTGATGGTGCTTTTGGTTTTGCTCTGAGCTGTACTCTCTTAAGTGCCTGCTGCTTGTGCAAGGAGCAAAGCATCATTTCAGAAACCTGGGAAATTCACTTGAGTTGAGCTTTTAAATTAATCCAGACCTGTGTGTGCATGAGTAAGATACTTCAACAATCTTAATCTGACATAATGAAGATGAGGCTTGGGATGTAAAACCTGGCAGAATATGTTTGATCGTGAACATTGACATGAACTTCCTTATCACTTCCAGTATCACTTCAGGGTGGAGTTCAAGCTGTTCAGGCATCCTTCCACTTTGTGTATGGCTTTGTTTCAGGTGTGGATCTTGATGTACATCTTGAGCCAGGGGCTCAGCTAGTGGAAATAACTCTATCTCCAGTTTGGGCCAAGGTAGAGTCTTGCAGGCATTTTATTTATAAGCCTGACACCCAGTGCAATGTGATGATGATGATACCATTCAAACTTCTGACCTCCAAACTACCTAAACTAGCATGTGCATAGCATGTAACTTCTGATGTTCATGTGGCTGCTGGACAGCAGTGAATACATGCCTGTCCTTTCAGGGAAGGCCCCATTTCTGCAGACCACTCTGTGGACCTGCAGCAAGTTCCAGCACATCCAAGGGCTTTATGAAAGGGCAGGATTTAGGTTGGTGCTCAGTCACCTTGCAATCTGGGTGGACATGAGGATAACACTGGTTTGAGTGTGAGGGGAGCAGCTGGTGGGAAGGAGGAGAGGCAAACAAAAGACAGGCAGTTTTTTGAAGCTAAGCTGTACTGTGTGGTTTCATGGCTTCTTCTTCCCAGTCCAAGAAGAAATACAAGCAGGGAACCTCCAGACTGCAGATGTGCTCTGGGACATGTGATGGATGTTATGGTAGGACCCCTCTTAATCATCTGCCAAAGGTCTTGGGAGTCTGGGGAGGTCCCTGCTGACTGGAGGTTAGCCAGTGTTATTCCAATCTAGAAAAAAAGGCATGAAAGAAGAGCCAGGGAACTACAGAGCTATTAATCTAACCTCAGTTTCTGGAAAAATTATGGAGAAGATTATACGGGGTACTATTGAAAGGCATTTATAGAGCAATTAAATCATCAGGCATAGTCAGTGGAGATTCACAAAGGGAAAGTCATGTTTAACTACTTTGCTAACCTTCTATGATAAGGTTACCCACCTAGAGGATAAAGGGAAGGCAGTAAATGTAGTTTTTCTGGATTTTAGTAAGACTGAGTGGATTTTTGATACTGTCCCTCACAGCATCCGTCTGCAGAAGTTGTCCAGCTGTGGGGTAAGGAGGTTCACAGTGCACTGAAGAAGGGCAGGGCTCAAAGGGTTGTAGTGAATGGGGTTACAACTAATTGGGAACTGGTCACCAGTGGTGTTCCACAGTGTTCAGTTCTAGGGACAATTCTGTTCAATGTATTTATCAACCATCTTGATGCATGAGGTTGAATGCACCATTAGCAAATTCACTGATTACACCAAAACTGGGAGGTTCTGTTGACTCTCTTGAGGGATGAGAGGCTTTGCAGGGGGATCTAGATTGATTGGAGCACTGGGCAGTGATGAATGCAATGAAATTTAACAGGTCCAAATGGCACATCCTGCACATAGGGTGGAGTAACACTGGTCACAGGTATACACTGGGAGAGGAGTGTCTGGAGAGCAGCCCTGCAGAAGGAGATCTGGGGGTGCTGATCAGCAGCAGCTCAGTATGAGCCAGCAGTGTGCCCTGGCAGCCAAGTGGGCAAAACTGCACCCTGGGGTACATCCAACACAGCATGACATGCTGGTCAGGAGAGGTGACCATCCCACTGTATCCAGCGTTGGTGAGGCCTCCTCATCTTGAGCCCTGTGTGCAGTTCTGGGCCCCACCTTGTAAGAAGGATGCTTGGATGCATCCAGAGGAGGCCAACAAAGCTGGTGGAAGGCCTCGAAGGCATGTCCTGTGAGGAGTGATTGAGGACTATGGGTATGACTAGTTTGGAGAAGAGGAGGCTGGAAGGTGACCTCATTGCTCTCTACAGCTTCCTGAGGAGGGGTTGTGGTGAGGGAGCTGCTGATCTTTTCTGCCTGGTCTGCAGTGATAGTGTGGGGATGATTCAAAGCTGCATCAGATGAGGTTCAGACTGGACATTAGGAAGCATTTCTTTCCTGAAGGGGTAGTCAAACACTGGAACAGGCTTCCTAGAGAGGTGGTGGATGCCCCATCCCTGACAATGTTTAAGAAGCTTGTGGACAATGCCCTTAAAAACCTTCTTTCACTTTTGGCCACCCCTGAGGTGGCCAGGCAGTTGGACTAGATCATTATAGGTCCCTTTCAGATTTTCTGTTCTTCTTGTCTCTGCTTTGTGGATAAAGCCAAGCATTCCTCTGCTGTGTTGGGTGCTTCTGAGAGCTGCTTTCAGCTTGTACCTCTGGCCACCTTAGTTGTCTCAAAGCCCTTGCTATAGGAGAGGAAGACTACAGAAACCTGCTGGAAACACAGGCATTCAGAATGGTGAAAATGCTGTTATTTAGCATGTCATGCTGGAAGGTGACCTTTTAATTGCCTTTTGTCATTCCCATCACTGTTTTAGGTAAAAGATGGTATCATTTCAGGATCCTCTCCTGTATAAGTAGAAATGAAAATAAAAATCCTGCATATGAATTCAAGTGGTTGACCCAGACAATTACCTAGGGATGAAAACCAGGAATTCTCTTTTGGGAGGAGCAAAGTTTTCTTGTTTTCAAGGATTTGGAGTGGATTGATTCACTAGAGCAAATTGTGAGAAAGTCAGTTCAGCTATCTCTACCAGTTTGGATAAAAGTGGGTATTTTTCACTTACAGTGCCCTTATTTTTCTGAACCATGTTTTTGGTATTATACCAGGGGTTTTATGGAAAACAGAGATATAATTTTCTAACCTGGACAATTTACAATATGACCCATGTGCTGTCAGTCTGAGCATAAGCATAAGAAGGCTTTTGGCAGCAACCAGTCCATTTCCCTGTTCAACTAAATTGCTTTTTGGTGGTCTGGTTGGAATCCCATCTGAATGCCAACTGGTTGCTTGGCTTTCTGTGTTGCTCCACACAGCATTCCGTAGGGAGGGCAAGAATATACGATATGAGTTGTCTCTTGGGGTTATGTCATATTTTGTGTCCCTGTCCATGCAGGGGGGTTGGAACTAGATGATCTTTAAGGTCTTTTTCCAACCCAAACCATTCTAAGGTTCTATGATGTGTATCAAGTGTCATAAATCGTATCAGAGCTCTTGGGTCAGTTGTAAGCTTGGAAGGATGGGTCTTCCAGTCTTCATGGAAAACGAGTGCAATATTTTGGCTTCAGTTAGTGGCCCCAGCAATTTGTTACAGAAGAAGAGAAGAGTCAGTGGGCACGATGGGAAAACCTACAAAGCTGTGTGTGTGTGCAGTTCCTACACTTGCCAGTACAGGTGGGGTTTGACACACCTCCTCCAAGAAAGCTCAGCACTCATGAGTGGAATGGAACTTGATGCAAGCCCAGCTGCTGCAGTGTGGCTGTGGGGGGGGTGTGTGTGGTAGACCGTGCCTTAGGAACTTCACAGGCAAACAGGAAGGTGCTCTTCTTTCCCTCAGGACATTTGCAACCCAGCTCCTAGACAAAAGATGGTGAGCAAAGGAAGTGTGGGAGCTCAGTGTAACTGGATTACACCAGAAATGCTTCCTGGGCTTAGTCTGGTCCATGATGAAGTGGGAGGGGATCATGCAGAAGCACTAAGCTAGCTGGCCTGCAGTGAGCTCTCCTCTCTGGGTGAAAGGGGATGGGGGAGCCCCCAGAAGGTGGTTACTGTAGTGTGTTCTACCTAGTGATGCACCTCCTCTTTTATTTCCTTTTCAGCGCTGGTCGTGGCTGTCCTGCGCTTCATTCAGATGAAGCCCAAGGTGCTAAACCCTTGGCTAAACATTGGTGGCCTGGTGGCATTATGCTTGGCCTCTTTTGGGATGACCCTACTCGGCAACTTTCAGGTACTGCACTCCAGGATTGGTCTGCTGTGTCTGTGCTGGGAGGTTCCTGCTTTTCTGGCAGATCTGCTTAGGTCTTTGAACTCCCTGTGATGTGAGCTTAGGAGATAACAGGTTGCCCAGAGAAGCTGTGGCTGCCCCATCCCTGGAAGTGTTCAAGGGCAGGTTGGGTGGGGCTCTGAGCAACCTGGTCTGGTGGGAGGTGTCCCTGCCCATGCAGGGGGTTGGAACTAGATTACCTTTAAGGTCCTTTCCAAACCCAAACAATTCCATGGTTCTGTGATTCTACGATCCCTTCCAACCCAATTCTTTCTATGATTCTGTAATGTGTCTGGCTGCCCCAGCCCTTGTACCTGCTGTGTCACCTCTGTGTGTCACTTCCATGGCTCCAGTGACATGCTGAGATGAAGGGCCACAAAGATTTTCCCCATATTCCCAGCAGGAGTCACACCTGCATGCTTATACTTGACCTGCCAACAGCCAGAGCACTGAACCTATTCAATCTCTTGAGCCCTGGGGATTGGCACAGATGGTCCCTGGGTGAAAGGACTGAGCCAGGAGTTTGCAGCTTCCCACACAGTTTTAGCAGACAGTTCAGTGTCCTTCGTTTAAAGCACACGTTTAAATCTGCCTCCTGCCTGCCCTCGGATTGCCCACCAGAGGGATGGGGCAGAGGAGATCTACAACTCCTAGTGTGGTGGGTGCCTGCATGAGGTCCCTCCAATTCTCCTTCTGTTTTGCAACATTGTACAAACGAACGAACAAGCTGTCAAGTGCCACGACGTTGCTTTGGAGGGTTGGGTGTCCGTTGTGGTCACGAGTGTGTCTGTTAGGTCTGCAGGGAAAATCGAGGCATTGGAGTCAGTGGCACTTGGGTTTCCCCATCTTGTTGCTTTCTCTGATGCTCTGCTCCTCACTGGGGTGCAAATAGTGAGCCCCAATAATGGCAGGAACTGAGAAAGATCTACCAGAAAGGTAGGCTGGCTTCTTCTGCCTTCCCTGGCTTTGCAGGCAGGGAAAAACAGCTCCCTGCTTTGGAGCAATTGCAGGAACATTGTGTCCCTAATAGTAGTTTGTTGTTTTTTGGTGGGTTTTTTTAGTGGGGATTTTTTGTGGTGTGGTTTTGGTTTTTGTTTTGTTTTTTAATGAGGTGTGAGATAATTTTAACTGTTTTGGGCCTGGTCTTCCTAACTCCACAGCACAAGCCAAAAAAACTTGGAGACTTGATTTTCCACAAGAGCTTCCCAGCTTGGAACTAGGAGGCTTTTTAACAGCCCTGTCTCAGTGTGAAAAGAGCATTTCTAGTGTAGGGCAGGCACTAGGAAGCAGTTTCAACCTCTCGGTTTTTTGCTCCTCAAAGGAAATGATTGTTCTTTAAAAGTGAGTACTTGGTGAGTCATGTCTGGTTATAAATTCTGAACTAATTACCTGCTCCTTGTTATTTGCCTGTACCCTTGCTTAGGTCTTTTGCCAACCCATGAAGGCAAGGGAAATGAGACCTAGTCCATGCTTTTCCCTACCTGACTGCTAAGATGAATGTGGCATTAGATCATATTTCTGGGTAATTACAGATTGGGTATGTTAGAGGAACATTATGGATCCATTAACATGCAGTGCAGGCTACCTTGGGAAAGGCAGTTCAATCCATTTTTTGCCTGTACTATGATTTGGACCTACCTTAAAAAAAAACCTCAGGGTAGGGAAGAGAGGGGAGAGATCAATGGAGACACAATAACTCGACTGTTATATTGCAAATTGTGTCTTGTTTGATGGGGATTTGTTAAATCACCAAGCAGGAATTAAAGCTGCAGGGGGGGAATTACAGAGTCATGGTATCTTTCCTAGAAAAGCCTCAGAGCCACGGGGAAAACAGAAGTTGTCTTGTTTGTTCTGTCCATGCTGGGCTTTCTGAAAGGATTTGCAGCCTCGAGGGATGTCTTTGCAGGTTCTTGCTGATTGAACCTGGCTGTCCTTTTGCCTTGCACTACTGCAGAGTCACTGAGCCCCATTAGACAGGGGGGGCCAAGAAACAGAGAAGCACTTGCACACCAGAGAGGTTGGGTTCATATTGTCTCAGATGGTCAAGGATGGGCAGGAGAGGGAACAGGCAGTCGAGCTTCTTGGTGGCAGAAGCTTGCCAACCCAGAAGCATGTGTCTGTTTTGGTTTATGCTGGCTCAGCAGAGGTGCCAGGGCTCCTGCTGCCCTCTGCCCCAGGCAGCAGTGCTCCATGCAGCTGACACTGTTGGCTGCACAGTCTGCTTCCATTGCAGGGAGCTGTACAAGACCCCAGTGGGTTGTTCTTGCCTGCCCTGGCCATCCCAGTGAGCCAGGATTGATTGCTGAGCTCTGCCTTGCTGAGTCTTGCCAGGGAGCTGTGGAGGCAGGCCCCAAGCAACTGCATTTTCCACTGTGCCTGGGCTTTGGGCAGATCTGCTTGGCAGTGACAACTGTGAACTCATCTTGGTTATGTTACACCTGCCAGAAGAAGTGACACAGCATCTCTGTTTCACACCCCAGTGATTCCCAGTCTCCCCTCTCCAACCCCCAGCAGCTACCCAAGGTAGCTAGCAGCTCATTCCTGTTGCCTCCAGACAATCACCACTGTTTGTTCCTAGCTTTCCATTGATGAGGAGATCCACAACGTGGGCACGTCGCTGACGTTTGGCTTTGGGACCTTGGCCTGCTGGATCCAGTCTGCCCTCACCCTCAAGATCAACCTGAAGAATGAGGGACGGAAAGTTGGGATTCCACGAGTCGCCTTGTCAGCCAGCATCACTCTCTGTGTGGTGCTCTGTATCCTTTTGGTCCTGCTCTCTGGGGAGCCAGCTGTCATGTGTGCCTGACACTCTCCACAGCAGGGAGCATTGCCTCTTCCCACATCTGTCCTGGGATCTCAAAGCATTTAGGAATGCTCCTCATCTTGTCTTGATGGGCTTGTTTTGTGTTTTGCCAGGATGCAGCTGCTTCACAGGTGGGCTCTATTCATAAATGTTTCTAAAACTTCTTAGCAGTATCCAAAGTGGTTACAATATTGAATAGTATCTGCATGATCTAATGGCATCACTGCTTGCCAGCACAGTAGCCTATAAGTTTAAGCAAAATGTGGAGATAAAAATTATCAGAAGAACAAAGGAACGAGGGAAGAAATGAGGTTTCTGGAGAAGATTTTGCACTGTTTGTTGAAATGCTCCAGGGTGCTACATCCAGCTCTGCCTTTTAAGATGGTTATCACAGTATAGACCTGCTGGGTCGTGGGGACTTTGGGTAAGACTAGGTGCTTTAGAAATCGGATTTGGGCTGTGGGGGTCTGTGGTCACTCAGACTGGATAATACCTGTGGCTTCCTCTCCCTCCTGTGCCTGTCAGCCCCATTCCAGCCCTTCTGTTTGCACCAGCACTCACGGTGTCCTCTTTGTTTAGGGTGGATCCTTTCACTTCATAGTTGCATCAGAGTTAGTGCAAGAGGGCAGGAATAAATAGTGATGAATGAGCTAATCCCCCTCTTTGTAAAACAGCCTTTTCTCAAACCAATTACTTAGTCACTTGGCTAGTTTTGAACATTTTGACCAGTGTCCAAAGGAATAGCAGATGTGTGTGAAGATGTACTATCAGTTACCTCCTCAGCTTCCTTGGAAAAAGATGTAGTTGAGCATCATGCTTTGGTGTTCATAATGTGGCAGTTTGCCTGGTTCTTGTGGTTTTCCCCTCCTTGCCTTGCCCTAAGCCCATAGCTCCCCCAGGGTGTGTCTGGGGTAGGGCTGGGCTGGGCTGCTGCTGCACTGCTGTGGTCAGAGGCTTCTGCCAGGCTGGGAGCAGAAGCAGCCAAGGTGTAGCTGTTCCTGTACTGACATGCCAGGTGCTCCAAGCCCTCCCCAGCTGGCTGCTTGGCACTGAAGGCTTTGAGACCTCTGTGAAGGGTGGCAGGCTGAGGCAGGGGTCCCATTCCTTCTGCCTTTGCAAAGGCTTGGGCTTGGATCCTCATCCCATGTAGCGTGTGCATGACTCTTGCACTACAAGGAAAGCAGAAGGTCCTTTAAAGCCAGACACAGGATGCTGTTGACTGAAATGAAACTTGGGTTCCTTACACAGAGCCTCAAATGGAAAGTCCTTGATTACCTGTTTTGTGCAGTTAAACATGGGAGAGGCTGCTTGATTTGTTTGTTTTTTGCAAATGAAGATGTGTGATGATGCCTTCTTGGAGTGCAGAGGAAATCCTGAAAGACAGGAGAGCCAGTAGGTTTAGAGGAGATGTGCACTGGGCTAAAAGAGGTCCCCAGCTTAGGAAGGTGTCCTCTGCTTTAGGGGAGCTGAGAATTGCTTTTATGGCATAGTCCAACACAACTGGAGACACTGATGCCAGGCAATACACAGCCCAAACCCATGGGTGCATGAGGCTGGGGGACAGTTTCTGCCTCTGCCAGTGTTCTTTTTCCTTTCAGTGTAACATGCTGTGCTATGCAGACTGATGCTTCTGGATTTCACAGAAAGGGATGATTTTGCAAGTTATCTCAAGAGAATGAAAGATGGCACAGTGTAGGTTCAAGGTGGTGCAGAGATCTGATCCAGTTCCCACTGGGAGGCTCCTGGCAGGTAGGAGCCCACAGCCAGATCTCCAGCTTGCCAGCTCATCCTCTGGCCAGCTGAACATTCCAGCAGGTCCTTGACTTCTTTGTGCCTACGTTTTTCCTTCTGTGAATGTTGATCAGCGTGAACTGGGATCAGGAAGCCCTGCTCTGTGTAGAACTGTGCTTCATGGGCATTGTTGGACACCTGACATCCCTTCCATCTCTGGCACCACATTCATGCTCTCCTGCTTGTGACTACATGGGCTGACTATCATGTGGGTGGCTCTGATTGTTAAGATTTTACTGTCTACCCTGTTTGGGTTTCCCCTCATCATGGTTGGTTTGTCTATTCCCACTAGTTGTCCTTGACTTTCCTCTTCCAGATTTCATCCTTATGGCACAGGGCATCCACATGCATGCTTCTAGGATCCAGTGGGGCTTGGTGATGTGCTTCCTGTGCTACTTTGGCACCTTTGCAGTGGAGTTCAGGCACTACAGGTTTGAGATCGTTTGCTCTGAGTACCAGGAAAACTTTCTGAGCTTTTCCGAAAGCTTATCGGAAGCCTCCGAGTACCAGACAGATCAGGTGTAGCCTTTCCTCTGGCAGGGGGGAGGGGGGCAGGTGTGGTCTCATGGGTTAAACATGACCTCATTTACACTTTTTTGATGAGTTTGTATTCATGTGCAATCACGATCCCATTGCCAAAGGGCTCTGAGGGTGGCCAAACAAAAACAGTGGAAGAGGAGTGGATCCTGCTCGAGAGCGGCTGCAGGAGAGAGCGGGAGCTGCTCAGGTGTTGCTACCAGTGACTGTGCCCGAGTGGCTCTGTCACACTCCTGTTGTTCAAAACATTCAACAGCCAGTCCTCGTGATGCCCCTCTGAGACAGACACTCCTCAGCCTGTTCTGCAGAGGAGGATGATGGACTTCTCCAGGCACCAGGAGTCTTCAGGAGCCACCAGTTCCCAAGTCAGCAGACTGCATCTTTTGTGTGTTTCTTGGTAGGGTAACAACAAGCAGCTGTTCCTTCTGGACTTGGACTTGAGCAGCACAAGACCCCAACTGACTGGCTTTTATGGCAAGGGGGCAGGCATTGCTTTCAGCCTGGAAAGCAGCCGGTGGTGAAGCTGAGTTTGGGAGAAACTGCTGTGATCAGGAATCAAGACATGTCTGATGCTGCCTTGTAGCTGGGCAGCCTGGCCCCAGGCCAGAAGAGGTGGCACAGGGTGGCGCTGTGCTTCAGACTCAGCAGTGGGGACTGGTGGAAGCAAGTTGCTGAATTTGCTGGGATTGCCTCTATGCTCTGAAGACGACCCAGGAAAAGTTGCTCTTTTAAGTGTTTGGTGCTTCCACTACGTGTCATGTGTGATATTTCAAAAGCTGCTTTTTTGTTCATGTTATGTTAAAAGACACTGGACTTGCCTGCAATGAGAACAGAACTGCAGGTGGTCTGGGCTTAGGGTTTTGTTTTGCACCTTGTGCCCTTCCAAGTCAAACTTGAGACATCCTGACATTAGGCCTGAGCTGTGGACCCCTGAGGGTGGGCAGTTGTCCTGAGTGGTGTATGACACAGATTAAAGCAGGATTCCAAGGGGCAGGGAGGAAGTTCTGTCCTGCAGGTTGGGTGATGAGGCCTGAGGGCTGGAGGTGCAGGAAGGGAACAGCAAAACCAGAAGGGTTTCTCCCTCCTTGGAGTGAGGTTTTCAAACATAAGGAAGAAAAAGGAGGAGGTCAAAGCCCCTCTTTGAACATCTGGTTTTGGGAAGGCTGCTGTATTGGCTGGGATGGGGAGCCACGAGAGATGCTTCTCAGGAACACGTTTTGATCCACGTGGCAGCCTCAGCTTAGGGTTTGCATCTGTCTGAGCTGCAGGAAAATAAGCAGAGTTGGAAACTGTGGCTAAAGGCATTTGAAGGGGAACTTGAGCCACACGGTGGCATGTGTAACGCAGAGGGAAAAGGCACGAGGGCATTTGGTCTTCTGCAAAGGCCAGAGACCTCTACTGAAAGGAGAATCAGTTGAGAAAAACTGTCAGAACCAGTGGGAGAAGAAAGCTTCCAGTCAGCCCTTTGCTGTATCTTTCCTGGGGCAAAACTTGTTCTCAGGCAGCTGTGTTACAAACCCAGAGTATTTCCAGCCAACAGATAGTTGTCACTGGGCTGCTGAAGGCCTTCCCCTTGTAGCTGTGTCACTAGTGAGAAGCTTTCCTGCAGGGACATGCTGAGGGTGGCTCAAGGGCACAGCAGCATCAGCATAAGACACAGGACTCCCCAGCAGCCCAACCAGGGAGCTGCTCCTGGGTGAGGCCAGAAAGGGCTGCCTGGAGAAGATGCAGGTGAGGATCCTCTTACATGGGCACAAGCTCAGTGCATATGGAGCACAAAATAGCAATTTGCTTGAAGGGTGTTTTACTGTAAATAGTCCACTGTGACTTTTTAGAAAAATCAATACTTTCAGTTTATCATTTTATATTTTGTAATTTTAACAAGGGAAAAAAAAAAGAAGATTGTGATTTTTCTTTTCTTTCTTTCTTTCCTTTTCCTATATGGAGTCTTAACTGAACTTCAGAACTGAACTCTGTACATTTCCTAGAGTGTTTCTAACAGCACATTTCAGTACAACTAAATGACAACTGATACACACTGAAACATGACCACTAAATAACCTGCTTTTATGAAGGAAGTGATCTTTATTTTTGTCGCCTACCCCGTGCAGAGATTTCTGATGGGAAAAGGAAAACAAAAAGTGAGTATTTACAGCGTCGTGATTCAAATTAACACTTGAGGAAGCCAGGGACTATTCAGCCATGCACACAGACTTGGTGTAACAGTGCTAGGATGACACTCAGGATGCAGCCCAGAAGGGCATCCAGACTAGCTGCCTCACAGCCTTATCTGCTACCATCCAAGTTTTAGGAGGGCAATGCTGGCATGATGTGGTTTCCTCCCAAAATGCCTGTCTCTTGCTTGCTCTCTCCACAGCAGCCTCCCTCAGGAGGGGTAGCTGTAGGTGTAGATCAGAGCTGAGGAAGGCAACAGACAGGTCAGTATTCTATTTCAGCCATGTGTGAGGGTCAGCTGAAGAGCAGCAGTGCAGAAATGAGAAAGTAGCAAGGGGCACCCATGCACAAAATGCCAGCAGCAGGGAACTGGGGTCTCAGACTGCTTCTGCCTCCATTATTGCTGGGAACAACATAACTGTGGCTCTCACTCCTGCACTCCCACTGAACCCCTACTGAAAGCATTAAGAGGGTCAGGGAGGTAAGACAGCTCCTCAGCAGGACAGGATTGTCTGCCTTAGAGAATGGACTGGGGAGGATGAAAGCAGGAAAATGAAGTGTTCACAGATAAAAGAGACTGGCCTTTAGGTGCTGGGATCACTGGTGATACACAGGAAGGCTAAATACTGGGATGGAGTAAACAATGAAAACAAGTTATGTTTTTATTTACAACGTCAGGAAAAGCTCCATGACCACAGACACGGGCACGATGTAGGTAGGAGGTGAAAAAGTCAGGGTTTTAATTCTCATTAAATGCATTCAGGATGTGTCCCTCAGGAGTTTGTCATGGTTTCCTCACAGCTGACCAGTGCTACCAACGTGTGCTAGGATGGTGTTGGCTGCTGAGGAGGAGCTCCACAGGTCAGTGCTAAGGGAGATCAGTCAGCGTGACCACGTTCCTGAAGTATGTTCAGCCAGTTGGATCCCATGGCCCAGCACCACGAGGCAGCATTCAGGTGGGGCTAGGATTTGGTTTTTCAAGCTGTATTTATATATACTTCATTCTGGTGTGCTGGCTGTGTAGCTCTAAGCAGCTTCCATATGCCAGTTGTACTGGTTTTCACCTAGGCCTATACCAAGCTTTAAGTTGTTCCTGGTCTAAAGAGCTTGTCTGCAGCAAGGGCTGACTCTTTCTGTGGCAGCACAAACCTACTGTTTTGTAGCTCACATTTGGCATTTTCTCTGGGGTGTCCTCACCCTAGCTTTGGAAGTTTTGACTTGGCCACCAACCATATGACTCAGGAACACGTTTTGATCCACGTGGCAGCCTCAGCTTAGGGTTTGCATCTGTCTGAGCTGCAGGAAAATAAGCAGAGTTGGAAACTGTGGCTAAAGGCATTTGAAGGGGAACTTGAGCCACACGGTGGCATGTGTAACGCAGAGGGAAAAGGCACGAGGGCATTTGGTCTTCTGCAAAGGCCAGAGACCTCTACTGAAAGGAGAATCAGTTGAGAAAAACTGTCAGAACCAGTGGGAGAAGAAAGCTTCCAGTCAGCCCTTTGCTGTATCTTTCCTGGGGCAAAACTTGTTCTCAGGCAGCTGTGTTACAAACCCAGAGTATTTCCAGCCAACAGATAGTTGTCACTGGGCTGCTGAAGGCCTTCCCCTTGTAGCTGTGTCACTAGTGAGAAGCTTTCCTGCAGGGACATGCTGAGGGTGGCTCAAGGGCACAGCAGCATCAGCATAAGACACAGGACTCCCCAGCAGCCCAACCAGGGAGCTGCTCCTGGGTGAGGCCAGAAAGGGCTGCCTGGAGAAGATGCAGGTGAGGATCCTCTTACATGGGCACAAGCTCAGTGCATATGGAGCACAAAATAGCAATTTGCTTGAAGGGTGTTTTACTGTAAATAGTCCACTGTGACTTTTTAGAAAAATCAATACTTTCAGTTTATCATTTTATATTTTGTAATTTTAACAAGGGAAAAAAAAAAGAAGATTGTGATTTTTCTTTTCTTTCTTTCTTTCCTTTTCCTATATGGAGTCTTAACTGAACTTCAGAACTGAACTCTGTACATTTCCTAGAGTGTTTCTAACAGCACATTTCAGTACAACTAAATGACAACTGATACACACTGAAACATGACCACTAAATAACCTGCTTTTATGAAGGAAGTGATCTTTATTTTTGTCGCCTACCCCGTGCAGAGATTTCTGATGGGAAAAGCAAAACAAAAAGTGAGTATTTACAGCGTCGTGATTCAAATTAACACTTGAGGAAGCCAGGGACTATTCAGCCATGCACACAGACTTGGTGTAACAGTGCTAGGATGACACTCAGGATGCAGCCCAGAAGGGCATCCAGACTAGCTGCCTCACAGCCTTATCTGCTACCATTCAAGTTTTAGGAGGGCAATGCTGGCATGATGTGGTTTCCTCCCAAAATGCCTGTCTCTTGCTTGCTCTCTCCACAGCAGCCTCCCTCAGGAGGGGTAGCTGTAGGTGTAGATCAGAGCTGAGGAAGGCAACAGACAGGTCAGTATTCTATTTCAGCCATGTGTGAGGGTCAGCTGAAGAGCAGCAGTGCAGAAATGAGAAAGTAGCAAGGGGCACCCATGCACAAAATGCCAGCAGCAGGGAACTGGGGTCTCAGACTGCTTCTGCCTCCATTATTGCTGGGAACAACATAACTGTGGCTCTCACTCCTGCACTCCCACTGAACCCCTACTGAAAGCATTAAGAGGGTCAGGGAGGTAAGACAGCTCCTCAGCAGGACAGGATTGTCTGCCTTAGAGAATGGACTGGGGAGGATGAAAGCAGGAAAATGAAGTGTTCACAGATAAAAGAGACTGGCCTTTAGGTGCTGGGATCACTGGTGATACACAGGAAGGCTAAATACTGGGATGGAGTAAACAATGAAAACAAGTTATGTTTTTATTTACAACGTCAGGAAAAGCTCCATGACCACAGACACGGGCACGATGTAGGTAGGAGGTGAAAAAGTCAGGGTTTTAATTCTCATTAAATGCATTCAGGATGTGTCCCTCAGGAGTTTGTCATGGTTTGCTCACAGCTGACCAGTGCTACCAACGTGTGCTAGGATGGTGTTGGCTGCTGAGGAGGAGCTCCACAGGTCAGTGCTAAGGGAGATCAGTCAGCGTGACCACGTTCCTGAAGTATGTTCAGCCAGTTGGATCCCATGGCCCAGCACCACGAGGCAGCATTCAGGTGGGGCTAGGATTTGGTTTTTCAAGCTGTATTTATATATACTTCATTCTGGTGTGCTGGCTGTGTAGCTCTAAGCAGCTTCCATATGCCAGTTGTACTGGTTTTCACCTAGGCCTATACCAAGCTTTAAGTTGTTCCTGGTCTAAAGAGCTTGTCTGCAGCAAGGGCTGACTCTTTCTGTGGCAGCACAAACCTACTGTTTTGTAGCTCACATTTGGCATTTTCTCTGGGGTGTCCTCACCCTAGCTTTGGAAGTTTTGACTTGGCCACCAACCATATAAGCAGGGAAAAGCTTGTGTGGTCTCCAGAGGTTCCTCTGGGTCAGGGGAACATATAGCTTGTTTGCAAACTGTTTCTGAAAACGATGGACCTTGTGTTGAGGCACCAGATTTCAGTGGGTGAGTCTGAAGGAAGCATCCCTGAGCTAACTGGTAGCTGGGAAAGGGGAGAAACAGTAGGGCAGGAGGGACCCCACACCACACTGTCCATCCGTACCAGCCTGCCCTAGTCACAGGTAAAAGACATGATGTGGATTTGGTCTAAAATTCTGATAATGGATAAAATTACCTAACGTTACACAAGGACAAGCCAGGTGAAACACAGTCTTTTCTGCATGCACCACTCTCCTTAAGTGGAGGAAGGCAGGAAAAGTTCAGCAAAAGATGAGATGAGGCTGTAATATGATTTCTCGTCGTCCGTCAGTCCAGCATTGCCTGGTCTGATCACCACAGCCACGTGAGTGTCTGCTTCCTCAGCTGCACTGGCTTCTGAAACAGAGGGGAGGAGAGGGGAGGTCAGATGTGCTTACTGACCTCTCCACAGGAGGATCTGTAAGACTTGGAGATGTCCCCAAAACAGAAGTGCTTTTAAAGGTTAAGACTGAGAGAGCACTGTTTGCAGGTGCCACTGCAGGGCTTGGGAGAGGGACCAGCTCCCACCAGGGGTCTAGGACATCAGGGGAGAAGTTGTAAGGGCCAACTCCTGGGGACTGAGCTGGCTTAGGCTGAGATCATAACCCAGAAGTGCCATTTCTGCCAGAAAGAGGTTTCCAGCAAAGGCAGGAAATTAAATGAGCTTGCTGAGCCTGGCTTGCCAGGGGTCAAGTCTTGGCAACCAGGAGCAATGTTTTCACGTAGCAGCACAGCAGACATTGCCTGTTGCCCCCAGCACAGGTCACGAAAACTACTGACCCTGGTGGTAAATGGGGCACAGTAACTGCTTCAGCAAATGCTCCACTTGATGAGGAGTGTCTCCTTTCTTGCTGGTTCAAGAGTAAGTTTTCTACTTGACCTGTGTTCCCTCACTGCAGCGCTGCTCACAGATACCCCACTGCTGTGTGGGGTGTGTGAGGAAGGGGCAAGGCAGAACCTCAGGGGATGCCACTGAACAGCATTTATGGGGTGCTTGTGACAAGTGCTTGCTTGCACCTGTAAGAAGAGCACCTGCCTCCCCCACACAGGCAAGAGCCAGGAGGGCTGGCAGGCCACTTACCTCGAGGGACATCTGTCAGGAAGAGGATGTTGTTGGTGGCACACCCGATACTGGCAGCAATCCTCCTGTAGCTCTCACTTTCTACTTTGGGGCCTATCTTGGTATCAAAGTGGCCATCAAAGAGCTGCAAGAGAGAGAAAAGCAAAGGCAGTTGCTGAGTGCTGCCTGAAAAGCAGGGCTAAACCTGGCTCCTGAGCGAGATGTCCCCTCTCTTTTCTACCACAGTCATGGGGGTTCATGTCAGAACACTTAACTGGCTGAGCTTAACTCTGGTGGGTCAAACCCACTGCCCCATTTTCCTGCCTATTCAAGAAGCATTACAGCAAGGGCAGCTGTGGGAGGGGAAGTGCTTTGCAGAGAGAGAAGCTGTGATAAGGTGATAAGATTATCTACCTCTAGGATATCACCTTCTGTAGAGTATCCGAACAGAAGCTTCTGGGCTTCAACGCTGCCTGAGGAGTAGATGTAGACCTTCATCCCTGCTTCCCGCCACTTCCTGATGGCTGGAACCACATCCTCGAAGATTCTGAAGCAAAAACAGGGCAGCAGGTAAGGGCAGACCCAGAGGCACCTGGAGGGACAGCTTTAGCCAGGGCACTGTTCCAACTGTCCCCTTAGTGTGCAAGGGGACCTCACTCTCAGTCTGCTCAGGGCTTCTCCACCCAGGGAGTCAGTTTCAGCAGCAGGTGATAGATTCTTAGCTTCAGCCAACTGAGCAGCTCACGTGAGCTGTTGCAGACATTTGGTAGGAGTTTTTCCAGCCCCTTCAATTTGGAGAGGGGAGGAAAGGTGAGGGGAAAATGGCATCCTGCTGCTTTGCCCTGCGAGGGAGGAAAAAGGGGGAAGACAGAGAAGCCAGGCCTTGGCTTCTCCACTGAGGTAGTAATTGGTATGTGGGGCTGCTATCCAGGAACAGTTTATGCAGCTGTTCTGCCAACAGACATCTAGGATCCCTCCCCCAGGGACAGGGGCATACCCAGTACTCACTCTCCTTTGACATGCCCGGTTGCATAGGCTGCCCTCCACATGTGGCCCTGCAGCTGCTTCAGGGCTGTGGTCTTCCTGTCCAGAGACATCTGCCAGTGCACATTGTCTACCACTGCCTGGATGATCCTCTCCAGCTCCTCTTCCCCATTTCCACTCTCCAAAGGGATTGGCGTGGCCCCATCCAAGCTGGAATCCTCCTGAGCCTGGAAATCATCCATGACAAAGAGAGGTGAGGGAAGAGGTGGAGCGGCCTCAACAAGATCTCAGGTTAGGAAAGGGGTCTAACACCTGCATCAATACACCTCTGTGCAGGACACAGCTTGAACTGCTCTTCACAGGAAGGGTTACAACATTGTCTGAAGGCTTTTCTTGGTGGGAAATTCCCACTTCAGTTGTGTCTAGAAACACTTGCTTGGAACGTACCTTCCAAATCAAACAATTAGGACTATTGTAGCTGCATTATAAACACTCTAATGAGAATTATACTTGCTTAGTGTTTAATTACTGAAATTAAGGCAAAGAAGCAAATGCATGCATTGGCTACAGCCAGCCACAGGTCTCAAACTGATGCTGTGTCCCTGTACAGAGGCAGAATATGTTGCCCTGTGCAGGAAAAGTGCTCTGCCACCCCCCTCCAGCTGCTTCCCAAACAGCAGCCTGAAAGCTGCAGGTGGTGGATTCAGCCAGAGAAAGGCAGTGCAGGCACCAAGCTGAGAAGCCACGGTTTGATGCCCACTCAAGGGCTGTGAAGACCAAAGTCAAGCCAGGGGAAACAGCTGAGCTGCTGCCTACCAAGCACTAGCCCTTCTCCCAGCACAACCCAGGGCTCTGGGTGGGGGAGCAGCAGCCTGTCAAGGCAACCAGCTCCCGTGGGGTGGGTGGGGGACAAAGAGAGGTATGGGCTCGAGTTAAATCCCTGACCTGAAGTCTCAGGCATCCCATGAAAACCCGGGGGTGTGGTATAGTTGTGCCACTTAACCTGTTTCCTCAGCAGTCCCACGTCCCGCTGGCACTCCTCCTCCTCCCAGTGAGCACGCAGATACTCCCTCACGTTGTCTTTGATGTAAGGGAACAGGGTCTCCTGGCAGCACACAAGGAAAACAGGCAGCTCCTTGAACCTGGCAGAGGTAAGGCTGGCTTGTTCTTAAATAAACCCTTTGCATCTGCTGGTTTGCATGATGATTTCCTCTGCTCCAGCTTCCCCTACAGCTTGTGAAACTGCCTGGTCACAGACCAGAGCCAACCTTGGGACAAGATTAGTGCAGGTGGATTATTTTATTTGAATTTGTTTTTACAGAAACACACACATAGCTGCAACTTTTAAGGCCCAGGATAGAAAGGCAGGTGATAACTTGTCCGGGGCTTGCAAAAAAAAAAATGTCTCAAATGGGCAGGCATGACCCCAAGTTCCCATCAGCTGAGGAGGACAGGGCAGAACTGAAAAGTCGTGCTACTCTATTTTTAATGGAATGCTTGTGCTAATGAAGGTTGTTCTCAAAACAGATCTCAACATCTCACCAGAGCTTGAGAAACTTTTCAAAAAGAAAAGTCCAGCTCAGTGACAATGAACTCCATAGGACAGTCCTCCAACTGAAATTAAATGGGCTTAGGGCAAAATGCCAGAGGAGAACTATAAACCTTCCTGGAGATCCCAAGGGCAACCAGAAATAATTACAAATTACTCTCATTAGCAGTGTTTCACACCTGAGGAGGCACAAGAAGGCACTGCAACAGCATCTCTAGGTGCAGGAAGAGCCTCAGAACAAAGAGGAAGGGCAGGGAGCTCCTTCCTTTGGGTACAGAACCAAGCTATTGCTAAGTAGGAAAAAATTTGTGATGGGGAGATGGGAGAAAATTAACCTGAGCTCATCTCTCCTCAAGAAATGGCCAGTGATATTTTGTTTCTCGTTGTATGTCACCTTTAATTTTTTGTTGAATTAAGAAAACAGAGGCCTTGAGATGCCTTGATGTGGTGGCAGAACTGCCAGATTTTCTGTTACTCAAACATTGAGTTTTCTGTGCAGTGTATTTTTAAAACCAATGTAAATGTATGTGAAAGGAAAACCTCTTAAGTGCTTAGAAAATTACCACAGTCTTGCCTAAGGAAATCATCAGCCTTGTAATAGCCTCAGCTACCCTCTCATTTCCTTTACTTGAGCATAGTTGCTTGCAAACTGTCTTTTAAATCATGGAGGAAATTAGAGGGTATCCACTGGGAAATGCAACCAACCCGCTGACTTGGTTCAGCTTCCTTTACAATTCAGATGTCCAAAATGTCCCAACTGCTTTCCATAATCAGTGTTCCATGCTCTTGTGCTGGCAAAGAAAAACTTCCAAACAGGCTCCAAAAGTGCAGTGTATTTTGTGACTCCCTGGATTTAAAAAAGAGTAAAAAGCCTTGGCCCGATGGCAAACACATCAGGCAGGGGGTCTGGAAAAGGACACCCATGTAACACTTGGAGTGGTGGGCAGCCAGTGGGACAGGATGGTCAGGAGTGATCCCAGGCAATGATCTGCTAAGTTTAAAAGACCATGAGCTTGTGTGGAAGAAAGAATCCTTGTGCCCTGCCAGGAAATGCCTCCGAGCCTTCAGCTTTCAGCAAAAGTTGGTGTCTGCAAAGTCCTGAGTAAGTTTAACTGAGGCTGCTACTGATCTTGGTGAGTTCACCCACTTCTCTTCTCATGCTGGCTGGCAGCAGACCTGAGCCTGCCTGTGCACAGCTCCCACGGCTCTGTCCCTCCCCTGGGTGTGCCAGGGAGCTGGGTCCTGCCACCCCACCAGCCCAAACACCATTTGGCAGGATGGAGAAACAGCCACCAGCAAACACAGCTCCACAGCCCTCTTAAGCCTTGGCAACTGCTCCCAGCAGGGTTAAACCCAGTATAGAAAGGGTGGTGGTTCTCATGACCAGCAGACACCCATGTAGCACGCTGTAAACTAGTGCTTGTAGGATTTCAAGCAACCAGGGGCAATCTTCCTCTCCATGTCTATGCAAACTGTCTCAAACATCAGTAATCATTTGCTCTTTTACAGAAGATCTGCAAATCCCAAGGGATGTTGTTTATCAAATTAGGTGTCTAATTTGGCAAATCTCCCCTGCCATCTACTCTTCTCTGTGCCAGGGTGGACCCAGCAAGAGAGAAAACTTGGTGACCTCTAACAAAGGTGCCACCAAATATCCTCTCTTCTGGTACCCTTCCTTAATCCATCCATCACTTGCCTCTTTCCTTACTTTGCATATTTAATAAAGAAAGGATTATATAAAATCCTTTAAGAATAAAATGCCTGCAGAACCAGCAGTGGACCTTTAAAAGGGAAACAGAAATTATGGAGGCTAAATGAAAATCCAAGTGAAATAACTTGTCTCGAGCATTTTCAGGATTTCCAGCAAACTTGAGTTTTATTGAGAACCATCAGTCATTTTGCCTTCCTGCAACAGAAAAACTTTGGGCAGGAAACAGTCTCTCCTGCATGTTCTCTGAATGACAGCAAAAAGAGACTCAAGCAACTTTGTTGCTCCACTAGATGGTAAGAAATCCGAGCTGGTCAAACTGTTTAAATTGAAAGAAATTGAGGGGAGGGAGGCAGCTGTGATGGTACCTAGACCTGAAGTTTCTTCAAAAGCACTGGAAGAACAAGGACAGGAAAGATGTAGGTCATGTTAATCTGTTCAACTGTGTTAGCAGAAACCCCTAGTGAGCCTGACAGGAGCCTTCACCCCCTGCACCTCTCATGTGGGCCACAAAGCACCTTTATAAACTACCAGCAAAAAAAGACCCATTAAAAGCTGTGCTGTTCCACGGAGAAGCAGAGATTAATGGCAGAGGCAGAGATAAATCCATCCAGGGTCTGAAGTGCAAGCAAACTGCTCCTGTGGACAGTCACCAGTCAACTGAAGCACATGGCTGGGAGAAGCTAACATGGATCTACCAGGGGGAGATGGTGCTTGGCAAACCTGATCACCTTCTGTGACCGAGTTGGTTGATGCAGGGTGAGCAGTGGGCTTCCCTGAGGGCTTTGACAGGGTCTCCCACAGCCTCCTCCTGGAGAAACTGACCCATCAAGGGCCTTGACAAGTGGTCAGTGCCTTGACAAGTGGTCAGTGCCTTGACAAGTGGTCTCTGTGCCTTGACAAGTGGTCTCTGTGCCTTGACAACTGGTCTGTGCCTTGACAAGTGGTCTCTGTGCCTTGACAACTGGTCAGTGCCTTGACAAGTGGTCTGTGCCTTGACAAGTGGTCTGTGCCTTGACAAGTGGTCTGTGTGCCTTGACAAGTGGTCAGTGCCTTGACAAGTGGTCTGTGTGCCTTGACAAGTGGTCTGTGTGCCTTGACAAGTGGTCTGTGTGCCTTGAAAACTGGTCAGTGCCTTGACAAGTGGTCTGTGCCTTGACAACTGGTCTGTGCGGTGGGTGGGGAACTGGTTGGCAGACCCTGGTAACTAGTTCCCCCTCAAACCGGACCCTGGTCACAAACGGGGTCCCCCCAGGGATGGATACTGGGCCCAGTGCTGTCACACCCCTCCAGCAGTGCCCCAGATGTTGGGGTCCAGAGCAGCCTGACCCAACCTGCAGCCCCCCCAGCAGCAGCGGTGCCCGAGGGCTTTTCCAGCCTGAACGCGCTGCAGGAGGAGCCCGAGATCCGTGAACAACAAACAAATAAATACAAACCCACGTACTGAACTGCCCTGGATCCCGAGGAGCCCATTCTCCCCCGTTTCCCCCCACCCGCAGCACCGAGCGAATGGGGCGGAACCACCCGGGCGTTGAAGGAAAACCACGGGACATTCCACGTTATTTTTGTATGTTTTTTTACACTTCTGGAGGAAAAACTCCATCCAGGGCCGAGGCCACGGGGACCTGCAACCACACGGACCTGCCCCCCGATGCTGCCCGGGGAGGGGGTGACAGCGACAACAAGGGTGATGCTACCGGACCCCCCAACCCGGTACCGTCGGTTCTCCCCCCCGGGGCTCACCTGGACGAAAGCGATGGGGGTGGTGGTGCCTTCGATGTCCAGCAGGATGACCCGCACTTCGGCCGGTACCGGTAACACGCCCATGGCTGCACCCGGGACCCTGCGCGCTGGGAACTCCGCTGCTCGCGGGAAATGGAGGCGGGAACTGCGGGAACTGCGGCGGCGGGGAGGAGGAGGAGGAGCGCCCGGAAGGCTGTGCCCGCCCCTGAAGGGCCCAGGACGGTGCCCGAGGGGGTGTTGGGGTTGCACGTTGCCGTTTTAACACCCCAGTCCCGGGGGGTTCTGATCCCGTTCTCCCGTTTTCTCCCGCTCCCGCCCGGGGTAGCGACCCCCGAGGGCTCTGGGCAGGGAGGGCGCGCTGATAGGAGAGGATGGAGTTTCATAGTTGCCTGCTTTAAAATTACATTGAGTAGCCTACAGCAGCCCATAAAGACAAGGGCATCTGCTGCAGAGACCACAAAGTAATACTTCTAGGTTTCAAACAGAAACACGTGAATTAAGATTTGCACACAATTCTGAAGACAATTCACTCTCAGCAGAATACTAAGTGGCTGGAGCTGAGCAGTTTTGCACATTCTTGCATGTAATAACAACCAGTAAAATATAGTCTTTGAAAAGAAAATTTACGAGACAGTAGATAAAACATTTCCATCTATATGGCAGCTATATGCAAAATACTTTCCACTGTACAAGGGGTAGCTTCAAAACAACAGACAGTGATCTCCCAATCACCCTTCTCTCTCTGTCTCACACACATGCTCAATCCAGCAAGACGTTGCACATTCTTCTTCTACTGATGTCAACAATGTAGTCCGGTTTAACATTCATAAAAAATATTTATATTGTAGCCTGCATGTTAATTCTTTGCTAGAGGAGGAGGGCTTAATTAAAGGATCTTTTTTGCATTAATGAAAATCAGTGAGGAAAGAGAAACAGGATAGATATCCTTAGCAAGATAAAGCCAAAAGCAAGACCAGATGACAACTCAAGACTACCTCCTACTCTATTTGCTACAATGCTGTGGAGATGCTGGGCTGGGTTGGGTTGGGTTGGGTTGGGGCTGTCCCGCTGCGAGCCCAGCCCCCTGGGCCTCGCTTCCCGGTCTGCTGTCGGCTGCTAGTCGGAATCAGTCCAACTCGGGGGGGGGGAAGAGGGAAAAGATCGTATCTGTGGAAAAGTCACGTAAAAGAGAACGTGAGGGACACGCAGGATAAAAAAACAGGGCCTAGATAACAGTGAAACGGCTACAGTTAGACAAAACCAGGTTCTAACTAGACAAAAAACGCAGCCCGAGCAGTCGACAGGCCTGCTGGGCAGGTGGGAGGGGTGGAAAAGGAGCACTCTCCTCAGCTTGTCCTGGTTATAGCCCTGAGCGCTGCGGGAGAACACAGTGAGTAATTGGAATCATCACAATAATTGAGCCGTTATCATACTGAAATTCACACCCACCAGCAAGAGGGATCCCAACTACCAACAAGCTCCCCCTACTCGTTGAGCAGATAAGAGTGAAATTTCTGAGCGTTGCTGCTTCAAATGGAAGCGAGGGCTTAGTTGACCAGTTGTGTGATTGAGTGACAGAATAATGTTAGAGATAAAGCTCTTAATTTTTGGGGTATGAAGGTGCACTTTGGGAAGCTGAGCTTGCTTTGTGAAATACCACCCTGCTCCCTTTTCTGTGTGGAACTGGGTATTAAATATCTCGACCCCGTGTGTGGATTGGCTTCTTGCACTCTGGTTGATGGCCCCTCCTTCTGGGACAAAGCACCTGTGTTTGCACCCAGCTGTTTACAGGTGTGTGTGTTTATTCATGTGCACTGCATTTCAGGAAAATGTTTATTGGAGGCCTCAGCTGGGACACCAGCAAGAAGGACTTGACAGAGTATCTCTCTCGGTTTGGTGAAGTTGTGGATTGTACAATTAAAACAGACCCCGTCACCGGGAGGTCGAGAGGGTTTGGGTTTGTGCTCTTCAAGGATGCTGCCAGCGTGGAGAAGGTGGGTGGATTTCTTGTGGCTTGATGGCAGGAAGCCTGCCTGTGTCCCTGCAGTGATCTGAGACTTTTGTTTCCTTGGTGTGTTTCTTAGGTGTTGGAACTGAAGGAACACAAATTGGATGGGAAGTTAATAGATCCTAAAAGGGCAAAAGCCCTGAAAGGGAAGGAGCCACCAAAAAAAGTGTTTGTTGGTGGGCTGAGTCCAGATACATCTGAGGAGCAGATTAAGGAGTACTTTGGAGCTTTTGGAGAGGTACAGTATAATGGCATACAAGAGCATCTCTGGTTTTCAAGTGTAGTGTTGTCTCTGTCTTAAGACAGAAGACTTTCTGAGGGGGGAGCCGCCTCAGGCTTATGTAAAACCAGGGATTGTTGAAGCTGTGTCCATGTCAGTGGTTCCATGGTGTTGTGATGGGCTGATTTAAATCTGTCAGCAGCAGTTGGGCATAGACATTGGGCTGCCAGATGTTGTGGTAGCATAACAAGTCACAGATTTCATGCCTTACTGATGGGTGCTTTTTATTTCAGATTGAAAACATTGAGCTTCCCATGGACACAAAGACAAACGAAAGGAGGGGCTTCTGTTTTATCACGTACACAGATGAAGAGCCAGTAAAGAAGTTACTAGAAAGCAGATACCATCAAATAGGTTCAGGCAAAGTATGGAAGCCCTTGTTCTTGGCATGTGAAATAAAAGCAATCTCTGTGGCTTCACAAAACGGTTTTGAAATTCTTGAGGAGTTAAAGACTTTTCTGTCTTCACAGTGTGAGATCAAAGTAGCACAGCCCAAAGAGGTTTACCGGCAGCAGCAGCAGCAGCAGAAAGGAGGGAAGAGCAATGCGGCTGGTGGACGAGGAGGTGGAAGGGGGCGTGGACGGGGTGAGTGTGTGGGATGTTGAAATTCATCAGTGCTTAAGTATCTGTCCCAAGATAAGGTGTTGATAAATATTCAAGGTCTCAGCTTGCGTGCAGAGCTCGTGTTGAAATTGAAGTGGAAAGCAGCCTGTTAGTTAGTGGTATTGAGGTGGTTGTGATGGCTTGTGGAAGTATCAGCATCTCTTCTTGCTCTGCTTGCAAGCAGAGTGGCAAGCTGGATGTAGGGTGCTTTTATATACCCACAGTTTACAGCATAACTAAATGGAGAGTGCAGCTGCTCTTTCACAGGAAGGCATACACTGGGAGTTGGCTCATGGGTGAGAAACCAGAAGCTGTTAGCTGAAGAGGGAGACAGTCACCTTGCTACACCTTGCAAATAAATGAGAAGCAATCTGCCACAGGCTAGTGCATCTCAGTCTTAAAAACTGGAGTAGTCAAAACCAACAGTGCAGTAAAGTTGATCCTGTGGTATAACATAGGTGTTCAGGCACTTAATGATCCAAAATGGAAAATAAAGGAAAACAGCAGGACCTACTGTAGTGTATGCCTTCAGTGTTGTGTCATTTTTCTGGGCTGTTCTGGGAGCAGCAGTACCTGCTGTCTTTGGCTAATGTTGTATGTGATAAGATCTTATGACCCATTTCTTATAACTAAACGAGATGCTTACATTCTTTTAAAAATTATTATTTTTTCTTGGGAAGGTGAGTGGTTTGTTCCAGGTAATAGTTCTGGCATAGAAAGGTTGCCCTAGAAAGTTAGATGAAGTGGCATAGGAAGAGGGAGGAGTGCAGTACAAAGTTCTCTAATTTATAAATGCTGTACTTGGTTTCAGGTCAGGGACAAAACTGGAATCAAGGATTTAACAACTACTATGATCAAGGATATGGGAACTACAATAGTGCTTACAGTGATCAAAGCTACAGTGGCTATGGAGGTTATGACTACTCTGGGTACAACTACCCCAATTACGGATATGGGCCGGGATACACAGACTACAGTGGTAAGTGGTTTTGATCTCATTGATAATTGCTTGTATCTTTAAACAGAGATCTCTTAACACCTCTTACTCCTAATACATGGGTCTAAAGAGTAGCCCTGTTGGTGCACAGTAGGGGAATAGCCTCCTTTGGAGTGTTGGATGTTCCTCTTCATGCTTTGGGGTTCTTGTTGATTTTTATTTTTTCCCCCATGTTATCTACAGGTCAACAAAGCACATATGGAAAGGCATCCCGTGGTGGAGGCAATCACCAAAATAACTACCAGCCATACTAAGGCAGTCCCTAGTCCTTGAGGAAACAGGTGTGTACATGAGTGCAAGGTTCACTCCGAGTATGTCTAAATTAAAGATCAATAGACAAATGAAGAGTAAAAACTTGTGTAGCATGACTTTTCCTTTAACTAAGCTTTTGTTAACTTAAAAAAATACTCTCTTTTTTTTTAAACCAGCTTTGCCTACAGTGTCTATAGATCTTTAACTTTGTAAAAATGTGACTTTTGACCTTCTCGAGTACTTCAGAAAAACATAAGCGTTTTTCTGGTTTGCGTTGTGTGTACCAGGTGGTCTAGAGGAATAATTAAAAACTTATTAGCAGTTATTACCAGGTAAAGTACTGAAATGGGTACAACTTAAGGAAAGCAATGTTGTCTTCTAACTCTGACATTATACCTTGTTTGTACCCGCCAGCGGGAACTTCATTGCAGGCCGTGTGTCACCCTGACCACGTCTATCTCTGGGGTCGCACGTTGCAGGCAGAGCGCAAGGCATACACCAGAAAACGCTGTCCTGTGGTATGGTCTCTTCCAACTTCATGTACCAGCGTAAAGATTAAAGTGGAAAACTTCAGACTTTGGCTTCTTTTTTTTAATTTTTTTTATTATTTTTTTTAATAAAAAACTTTTTGGAGATTTTAAGTGTCTTTAACTTAAAACTGTTTTTTACAGGAGTTAAAAGTACATAAATGCCTTTACAGCTTAATCATTTGGTCTTCTGTTTAGTGTTGTATTTCAATTGTGGAACGTCATTTTAAGTGTGCATTCTTTAAGATTTAATGCTTGCTTTTTTTCTTTTTATAGCTAATAGTGAAATCTGCAAACCAAAACGAACTTAAAAATCTGGAAAAACATTAAAGATCATATGCACCTGGGCTGTTCAAACCTGGCTCGGGTTTGCACAGCAGTCATTGATATAAGGAGAAACAAATCAAAAACCCTTTTTGGCAGTGTTTCCAGTGGGGGAGGAAAAAAAAAAAATCAACCAAAAAATCCAACAAAACATTCCAGGTTCTTAAATGGGCTGGAGTGGCTGCATTTGGGAAGATAAAATTACTGCTGGGTAACAAAGCCTCTTGTTACCTTAATTTTAAAAAATAAAAGCATATGATCTTTAACGGTGAAGAAAGGAATATATAGAAGACTTAAAGCAGTTCATGAAAATGGACCTTTTAACGATGCCTTGTAGTAGCTTGCACAGGTCTGACATGCATTTTGTCTTGATTTTTAGGTAGAGATACCGCAACAAAGCCATCTTGCAGCACATCGTGAGTGAGTGGAGAGTGGTCTTCATGAGAGGAAATGACTATTTTGTAAAAGACTTTTCAGTGTATGACACAGCTGTGTCCAACTGTATATAGCGGCCAACTAGTTTTCTTTTATGGTTTTTACTTTCTGTTTTTGGGGTTTTTTTTGCCATTCATGTTATGACACAACGTGGACTTGTGTTTATACAAACTTTTATTTGTATAATTTCATGTTAAAGGATTCTCTAATAAATGCTTACTTAAGTGAATGTGCAGTCTTGCTGTTTGCTGTCAGCTTCAGAGCATTCTGACTGTAGTTGTACTTCTGTAGAAGGGGGGCATCTCCTTTCTGGAGGTGATTAAGGGCTCAAGACAAGGTTATTGTGTGTACAGGTCAGCACAACCCACTCCTTTTCCTGAGCTGGGAGTTAGCATCCCTCTGGAAGATGGCACAGTTGCCTCTTGCCAAGCTGCAGAAATGAGGCTTTGGTCTGGAGCACCATGCTGCCACTTGAATGCATCTTGAGGAAGGGCTCTAGAACTGCAGCAGCACCTTTTTCATGGCTTAGAGCACCTACTTGAGGGCTTGGAGGGACCATCTGAGGTTTTCCCAACCGGGACTTCAGTGTCTGTTTCCACAGTATGTATAATCGTTCAGGGTTTTTCAAGCATTTGGGTTCTAGAATCATCAAGGCTATAACTTTATTACTTCTCTGGAAGTAAGCAGGAGATAATTTCCTGAACTTCAGGGTCACCAACTGCTTTCTCTACAAGTTTGGAATCTACTTCAAGTTGTACCATGCTCTTCTCAGCTGGATCAGAAAAGAGGTTTCCCATTTTGTGCGTGCTAGCAAGCAGCATGGCAAAAACCTAGGCATAGGGTAGCTGGAGAAGGGGGACTTGCACGGTGGGTTGTTTCCTGGATAGGAAAGGAGCTGGGAGCCTAAACAGTTGCAGGAGTCTGAAGTGTTTTGAACTGTGCAAGTTACCGATCTTGCAGAAAGAGTAAACCTTGCTTTGTGCTCGAGCTGATGGACAGGGCAGACTAGCCTTTCAGGCTTGGAGAGGAGGTAGTTTTGAGTAGCAGTTTCTCTAAAAGTTTTCCCAACCGGGACTTCAGTGTCTGTTTCTGTCTCACGCAGCTCTGATGGCTCCGGATTAAGCAGCTACTGGACAGGGGGAGGTTCCTGTCACCTTAGCAATTAGGTTAGAAGGCTCTAGAAACGACAGCTCTAGCATATGCCAAGGAGGGGAAGAAACCCCATCGGGATGTGATGTTTGTACCCCCGACCCTTCCGGGGCTGGATGCGGGAGCTGCCAAGGGAGGCAGGTTTCGGGTGCTCGGTGCGGGCGCGGCTCCGCCTCAGGCCGGGACAGCCGTGTCGGGGCCAAGGCCTCGGGTGGGCTCGGCCTTGCGGAC